GTCCCTATCCCAGCCCACATGTCGCTATCCCAGCACCACAGTGATTCCACCTGCTCCCTGTCACTCCTCCATTCACCCAGAACTCCCACCCGGGATCTCACTGGAGAGCCCCCAGCGACCCTTCCTGGACCCCAAGGCCCCTYGGGGAGCTCCCACCACCGCGTGGGGCAAGGGATGGCCAGGCAATGCAAGCCACAACAAGGGAGGGGTAGGCGAGGCAAGGCAAGGCAAGGAAGGGCTGGAAAAGGCAAGGGAGAGGGCGGCAAGGCAAGTGGAGGGCAAGGCAATGCATGGCAAGGAGAGAAAAAAGAGGTGGGGAGGGGTCCAAAGGCAAGGGAAGAGTAGGCAGGGCAAGGCAAGGGAGCTGTCCTGCCTTTGCTACCCCTCCCTTGTCTTGCTTTTCCACACCTCTCTAGTCTTGCCTTGCCTACTGTTGCCTTGCCTCCCCTACACCCCTCTTGCTTTGCCATGCCAACCTTCCCTTGCCTTGTTTTCTCTCGCATTTCCCACCCCATTTCTGCCTTGCCCACCCTCGCATCCCTGGGCGATGTCGCCACCTCGCGGCCGCCGGGCCCGTTCCCCCCGCCCCGGGCTCACCGGCAGCAAACGGTGGATTTTGTGTGTGTCCTGCAGGGAAATAAACCCTGGGRCTGTTCCCTCGCAGGGGTGTTCTCCTGCTCCTTCTCAGGCTCCTTTCCCTCGTGAACAGTCTGGCTGAAAAGTAGCTCCAAGCGCCTGCTCCAAACCCTGCTGATCCAGGGAAGCTGAGCAATGGCAATGCTTTTTTTGTTTGTCTCTGAAACATCTTTGATTTCTTAAGGTTTAGAAATCTTTCTTTTGACKGTGGTTAAATATTGCCCTGTACGCTTCAGCTTCCGTGACAGCTGCAGACAGGGATAAAGCACAGCCCCTTCTGTGTTCTCTGTTTGAGGGGTTGTCTTCGTTTAATTCAGTGCTGTGCAGAAGGTTCACTGCTAGCAAGCCATTAGTTTGGGACTGATCCCTGACTTCCACCCCTTTTGTCATTTATGCTAAATGAAAGAAAGTATGAAGGAACCTTCTATCCAAATTCCATTATGCAAAGGGTGRATGATCCAAGTTCAAAATGCTGTTGTTGAGAAAAATCAGACGTCACCTGGATACAAAACTCTGAAAGGTTTCTGTGAATTTTGGTTAGKTTTCAGATTCTGCCTCTTGGGCTCTTCTCTGTACAAAACTGCTTCAATTAGAAAGAATAGAGTAAACATGTAGGATTTAAGTTGAATCTCTGCTAAAAACCACCTAATGTTTTATTAATAAATTGCCCTGTGAAATTAAGTGAATAATAGATGAATGTAGCTCTGGTGGGACACAAGAACCTAGCAGTGCAGTGTGTGTGCAAGGTGATGGGCATGAATTTATGAAGGTATGAGTGGGCTCTGAGCACAAGGTGCTGAACACAGAGATGTGGGGTACAGAAGGCAGCTTKCCTTGTGAAGGAGCAAGTTCTGTTGGTTACTTGCAGTCTGTGGTTTCTCTTTACTAAAAGGGCTGGCTCTGGGCTCTGGTTTGCCGGCTGAGGATGCAGAAGTCAGGTTTGGAACAGCAGCAAGTCTGGAGCAGGGGAGAGTGCGGTGGGGCACTGCTCGGGGGTGTTTGCAGGCTGTGYGGGAGAGCAGTGAGGAAATCAGGGACACTGGGAGACACAGCACAATCATGGATGGAAACCAGACTAGAGGAGTGGACACATCCAACAAAGAAGCTGAAGGCTGCAGGGATCATCCAAGGATTTCAGATATGATGTTGTAAGGTTAAATGGTTCAAAATAAGTGAGACCTCTTTTCCAGGGYTTTTTTTCCCATTAGTTGTCATCCGTGTGGCTCATCTTGCTGCCTGTCCAAAGGAATTTCTGTTTCTGACAAGACTTCCAGCAAGAGCCCGTCTTCAGCCCAGACAAATCCCATACAATTCTTGGATTACGCCGCTCACATCAAGAAGTTCTTGTGGTTTTGTTCCGCACTGGATCAAAGCAAAGGCAGCTACTGTGAGAGCACATTTTATAAGCTGTGAATATTTATTATCAGCTCACAAAGCGGAATTTTGTTGTGCTCCKTGTGGGGGTTTCCATGTTCTTCCCTCAGCAGTGCAAATGAATCACAGTGTGCGTGTAATATATGTAGGCATCAGCTTTTTGTTATGACTTAAACTCTGATCTACTTACTCAGTCAGGAATTGGAAACACATGGCTTTAGTATGCAGGGCTTTTATACTCATGGAATGGTAAAACTGTAGTGGCAGCTTCCAGAGACTTTCAGTCCAAATTTCAGTGTGCCTTCAAAAGGAATTGGGGTAAAAGAGCAAAAAGTCCTGCAGCAAACCTTACGGTACAGAAATAAGTGATACCTCTTAATCATCTTTAAAGTATTTTGTGGATATAACCCATCCCCTGAGATCCAGTCTCCTTTTGGAAATTTGCTCAATAGCAATGTTTAGGAGAAGGAATGAACCCATTTGTAAACTTAAACCAGTTATGCTAAAATGAGGATTAAATGGAAGAGGAGAACTGGGGAGAATATATGAAACTATGGTACAGATGAAATTTCATAATGCATTTTGAAATGGTGCTTGCTCATAAATTGGACTACATTTACTAAAATACAAATGAAAGCCACATAATGGCAAAATAAATGTGTTATAGTCCTCAAATGAGAAAAAATTCAAGTCAAATTAATCCAGATGTTAAGGATTTACCCAAAAGGAAATTGAGGCTGAGCAAAGTATGAGAAGCTTGTTTTGCCAAAACTGTTGCTTGTTGAGAAGTCTTTTGTGTCCTACTTTTTATTTTGCCATAGCACACAGAAATGGTTTATTTTCTGGGTTCTTACCTTTGTTACCCCCATGAAGTGTTACAACCTCCTTTACTCTGAGAGGGAGAGGAGAAGGACAGGATGAAGACAGGCAGGTTGTGAAGGATCAGAGGTTGGGAGAGCTGATTCTCAGTGGKGCAGGAACAACTCAGCCTCCAGATTCTCTGTGGCTCTTCCACATAGGGCTTCTTCCTCATTTGGATCATTTTCCCCTCCTCAAGGGAAACAGTATGAGTGGAATTAGGGAGTTCCTGTGGACAGCAAAGCCAGGAGAGGCACCCTGAGGCTKCTGCAGGCTCATTACAGCACTCAGAGTTGAGGGCATGAAGCCACTGTGGGGTTCTGGCACATGTCCTGTTCAGCACAGCCCCATCCAGCTGCATCCCATGGAAACTGGGACACTCCTGGCCGGGAGTGTTGGGAGGGACACGCTGAGGCAGAGCCATYGACACTGCCCTTACGCAAGTGAGGAGCACTGTGCAGCCTAATAAGGAATGTAACTTCTTTTTTTTTTTCATGGTGCACGTTAATCTGTTGTTTTCCCTAAAAAAAAAAAAAAAAAAAAAAAAAAAAAAAAAAAAAAAAAAAAAAAAAAAGCCAAACAAACCTTGCAACTCTTGCCAAACAGCCTGGCCTTATCTCCTTCTTCAAGAGTTCATTCACAGCTCCAGCCTCAGTCACAGCTGACAGTTTGTGTGTCAGGAGCACACGAGGCTCTGCACTTTTGGCCAGCTCAGAGGTTTCCTGGTGTCCCTGGAACATCCCTGGAAGAGCACACACCCCCTTGGAGATGTGACTGTGGTACAGCCCAGAGAATTCCAGGTTAAGAAGCAGAGTGTTTGCAGGAACCACTTTGGAGTTCGTTGTGCCCYGAGCAGCGTCTGACCTCAGCCAGGTGAGTGCCTGACTGGTATTTACTGGATTTCACCTTTTTCACCTTTATTTCACCTCTGTTAACCATAATGAGCCCTTCAGCAGCGCAGGAGAAAATGCTTTTGATTACTTGAGTTTGTTTAATGTACATTTCTCTCAGAAAATCACAGCTCTATGCTAACTCTGAGCCAAGCTTTATTGCAGGATTTRTTTCCAAAGTGTGGGTGCTCTCCTTTCTTCTGGGATAACCAATTTCACTCAACTCTTCTCTCTACAGGCATCCTTTACAGTTATTCTGATAAAGAGTGATTTGATCTCTGCTCATATAGATCCCTTTGTTATCCCATCTCTGATCTTTCAAAATCCTGTCTTCACCATGGATTCTTTTGCTGTGAAATTCAAGGGGATGTTTTACTTTTTTTTTGTTGTTATGGTTCTTGTGAAGGAGAGATTTTTGTACTGTGTCAAAAATAATTGATAGGTGGATATATAAAATAATGGAGTGGCCTGATAAGGAGTTACTGATTAATTTGTAATCTCTTTCTGAAGAAAGCTGGTTCCTGTGGTTTCAGCACAAAACCATGGCTTGAATGAATCAAGTGACAATGCTGTTTGCATTTTCTTCTGAGCTTTTTATAGAACACTTGACTGGATTCATGTTAATTKTAACATCTGGCATTTAGTGTACTAAATTACTTTTAAAAGAAAATCTAACTGGAATTGCACCTCTCTGATATTAGCTGAAAATGTGTCTGACCTCGAGGCTATACTGGAAACCGCTGAAGGTCAAGGTATCTTGAAGCAGACAGACACCTGTGCACTTTGGAAAATCCTGAAAGGAGCCACAGGTTTTTGTCTCTGCTTGCAATGATCTTTAAGAATTTTAGCATTTTGTCGAAGGTTTCACCTGGGAACCAGTCAGGTGGAGGCAAAAGTCTGCTCTGCTGCTAATCCCATCGCTTTTTAAATCTTTGCCCTTGCCTGAGGGGAGAGAGAAAATGGTTTTTCTTTTAAAAAGTGTTTCACAGGCAACTGCACTGGGATAAACTCTCATGGGAAAGGCAAGGAGGGAAGAGAAGGAGTCCAGCCAGTGTTCATCCTCTCTGTGTTCCGCCAGGACTTGGAGTAGTTTTGACTATAAAATCAGTACTGTACCGTAGTGCTGAACAATTGTATATTGATTTGTGTTGATTTCACTCAGTTCTTGAGCTGAAAAGATCCCACACACCCCTGACCATCAGCTCTACAAATCTGGCCCAGATGCCGTTGCTTCCCCTTGGGTACAGTCACATGCAAGGGCAGTTTTCCTCAGCAGCTCTTTGCTCCTGTACTCCCATCCTGCAGGGTCAGAATGGGTTTACACTTTATCTCACCAGGAATTGGTGGGAGAGAGAACAAACTGTGAAAATCAATGGCAGGCTCTTGGCAGAGCTCCTGCTCCACTCCTGGGCTTAGGGAATGTCAGGCTGGGTTCTGAATCAGCACCCCACCTCTGCAATGCAATCAGAATTCTGACTCCCCAAGAAGTGCTACAGAACCTCCCCCTCTCCCAGTGAGACTTAAAAGAAAAGCCTGGTTAAGTGTTGTGCTGTTGCAGTACCAGTGTTGTAATTGATTTTATGGTAGAAAAGCTTTGTTTTATGGCCTGATGATTCTGCCAGGCCTTGATGCTGCCTGGGAAAGCAAACAGGTTTGACTGCTCCTGATGTCCAGTTTTCTCCCCCACATTCCTGCTCAGAATTGATAGGATATGGACAGATACTCCCAGATGAAAATATTTGTTCTTCTCTCTTGATTTTAAGCCTGGCAAAACTGCCCAGCAGAACAATGTTGGTGCTGTCCTCTTTCTGCAAGAAGGCAAATGCTTGTGTCTTCTTCCCGTAGCTAATACTTAAGCTGAGCTAACCTTTATTTGCCTATAAAAGTACCRAGTTACAGAGGCCATAAATAGTCAAATTAACCTTATTTTGTTGAAAAAAAAATCTGAAAACTGGTGGAAAGAAGGGCTAATGCTGCTCAATCATGGTATCCTCAGAGCAGCCAGTAAACTTGGTGTTTCATCAGTCAGGGAGAGCACTGCCATCCAAAACTACTCAGAAGTGCTGGATCACAGTCATTAATACTGAACAGGGTGCTATTAAATTAGCCTGTGCAGCCAACTTGATCCAGATTGGATATATTCTTACTAATGCAATTACACATCCACACAACATGGATTTAACACTGAGTTTATATTTTTTTTATTGGCTTATGCAGAGGAAGAGAGGATATCCAGTCCAGCATAAAGCCTCCCAGTTAGTGTGTTGAGATGTTTAAAGAATTTGAATGAGCAAATTTCTCCAGAAGAGAAGCTTCTGCTGCAGCAGTAGCAGTGGAACAGCCAAGATGATCGTGAAACCTCAGTGTTTATGAAGTGGAAGCTTTTCAACTGCTTCAAGTTCCCCTGCACTCTTAATACAGATTTGCAAAGTCATTGCATTGTAAGGACCTGTGATCACTCTGCACAGCAAGARAGAGCAATAACCTTTTCCAGCTGGAGCTCTGAAAGTTCCTTTAATTAGTTTTACAGAAAACCAGTTCAGAGTAATTTAAAACTTTTGGCTGCAGGGCTGCTTTTTTTTTTTGGAGGCACTCATTGGTTTGGTTGTTCTGAAGCAAACTATGGAGACAGAKATGTTTGGGAAAATACTACACTGTGTTTGCAAACAGTGAAATACTTGAGTCCCTGTTTTGCTCTTGTAGTCCAAACAGTGGCTTTGAGGTTTGGTGAGGAGTGAGAATTGAAGGAGCAGAGTTTTGAGCTGCGAGGTTTTTGTGTGTTGTCAAGGCAGGCACACAACTGCAGGTACAAAAGAGAATCCTGAGATCCAGGTGTGCGTGGCTGTTATTCCTGCTAAGGTGACAATTTGGTATCTGCAAATGGACAATGATCTTCAGAGTGGGGTCATGCAATAACAGAATGGTTTGGGTTGGAAGGGGCCTAAAAGCTCATCTCATTCCACCCCCCTGGGCARGGACACCTTCCACTAGACCAGGTGGCTCAAARTCCAATCCAACCTGGCCTTGGACACTTGCTGGGGTGGGGAGTCCACAGCTTCTCTCGGCACTTGTGCCAGTTCTCATGAAAGAATTTCTTCCTGGTATCCAATCTAAACCTCCCCTCTTTCAATTTAAAACCACTCCCCCTTGTCCTGTCACTGTCTGCCCCTGTAAAAAGTCACTCTCCCTCTTTTTTATAAGCTCTCTTTATGACCTGAAAGGCTGCTATGAGGATYCCCTGGAGCCTTCTCTTCTCCAGGCTGGACCACCCCAGCTCTCTCAGCCTAGRAGGCTGCCCCAATCATGGAATATGCGGTGTGCATAATTTCTGGCATCCCTCYGTGGTCTTCCCACTTGGGGGCCTCCTGAACCAGCAGGACTGTGGCCTGAGGTTGGAGTGGGCCTGAACTTGCAGCTTGATCCCAGGATCCACTTATAGAAGAAGAAGTTTCGTGTTCAAAGYGGTGTCCCACTGTGGCCTTAAATCACGCCTGGAAATGCACTTTGCCCTTTTAGTCCTGGTGCTGTGCATGTAAGTTCCTTGGAATCCTGCAGCTGGAACAGCAAAGTAGGGTGTGTGATAAAATTTATGTGTTACAACACACCAAGACTCCTCCTTGCAGGGGAGTTTCCTCTGGCACCCAGGGCTCTGTGCAGCTGCTTGGCCTCTGGGGCTGGAAGTGCTGGGTTTGGTTAAGAAAAACCCAGCCCTGCTGTCCCTGCRCCCTTCGAGCTGGGATGGGAGTGGGAAGGATGCTTGGCATCCCCCATGGATGGCTTGGCTTGACAGCTGCAATAATTGCTCYGCCTGAGTTTTTACCCTGCATGTCACTCGGTTACCCAGAGTAACAAAATGGGCTGAGAGGAGGTGGCTTCTGCACAGTTTGTGTAAGGATTGCATGAATTCAGGAGTAAGGAGGGTGTAGTTATCCCCCACACGCCTGTCTGGACAGTCTGTGCTGTTTGCTGTGGATCTCCTGYGTGGCAGCTGGGGGAGAGAAAGGTTAAGACATGGAAATGTGAGTGTAAAGAAACACTGTTGGACAGTTTAACACTCAAAGCTTATCTTAATGCCATGGTGAAGACCTGGATTTTGAGTGAAGGTCACTTTAATTTATGGCTGTTCCTAAGACCAGGAGCTGGCATTTGCCCTGTGTTGAAYGTGATTTAGCTGTGCTCTGGCTGGCTCCAGCAGAGGAATAATCTCTGAGCGTAAACTGTAAGTAAAATTAAAATTGTTCTGTGCTCAGGCTGAGGAGGGGACTCTGCACTGTCTCAACTTCACTCTTCTGCTGAAACTCTTTTTCTAATCAAAATAGGAAACTCTGTGGAAAAACAAAGGAGCAGAGAAAGATTTAAAAGCTCTGAGGTTGAAAGCTCAGTGACGTGAGCCCTCCTGTWCTTCTGCTGAAACCATGGAGGACTGGCTGACCTGTAGAGCTCTTTAGGGKTTTTTTCCCCTTTATTTCCTTTCTATCCCTCCCCTGGAGTGATCCCTTTCTCTCTGCAGAGCGACAGAGTGTCTCTGAGCTGGGGTGCAGTATTTTTAGGCCTGTGTTTCATAGCCCACTGTGCAGAGCTCATTTGTATCACATGGCAGAGCAGGGAGCCCTGGCAGAGCAGCTGCCAAGCCCTGCTCAGTGTTTGCTCAGCCCTGTGTGGTTGCAGTGCCAGCTGAACCAGGGTAAAGTTGTTGGGAGCAGGGGAGACTGTGTGCCCTCACTAGAGGAAGGAGTGTGGTTCTTTGGGAGCTTCCGTGATCAACTGAGGGTCAAAAACTGGGAGCTGTTCAAAATAAACCTTGGGACAGGAACCAGGTCTGCCTCAGGCCATGTCCTGGTAAGTGAGCACCCAGAAGAGGACGGCTCAGCTGTGCACCTCCATCCTCAGTGTTCAAACCACCAGGCTGTTGCATGGAAATTACACTGACATTCTTGATGGAGGGCTTTCCAAGGAGAAAGAGRTACTTTTGTTGTGTTTAAAATGGGCTGCTTTGGGTTCCTGTGAAAGTGGGTTCCTCCTGGTTCTCCAGATGGTGGATGGTACTTCAGTTCAGTGCCTTCTGAGTGGGTAAGAAGCATCCTGGAGCTCAAGCCCCTGAAACAAACACTCCATGGCATGCTCTGGATGGCACAGGAGTCTGGAGAGGGCAGAGGAAGAGTCTGGCAGGAGAAGGGTCCTCCTTGTTGGGGTTCCCCTTGGTGAGCACTGCCTGTGCATGGCTATGGGTGAGGCAAGCAGTGCTTTATCATCATGCTGTTCATTGCCACTGAACATTCCAGGCTGTTGTGGAATGGAGTGTTAATCCTGGAAGGAATCACATTCCTGATTGGCAGATAGAAGGAGAGAAAAAGCAGGGGAATGAGGTCACAAAAGACCTATCTCAATGAATTAGGCAGTGACAAAAACCTCATCACCCAGGGGCTATTTTAAAAGCAGCTAGACTCAGTTTAGAATGTTASATAGCTCCTAGGGAATTTTTAGTAAGGAAGAATGCCAGGTATCATGAAATAATCTATATCCCACCCAAATTAGTCAAATAATTTTGTTGAGGTCCCTGAGGTACCTCTGTAAAATTGACAAGTTGTTCTGCACTTGAATTTCAATAATTGTTTGTTGCATTTGCCTTGTCTTGGGAGGGCACCTGCCAAGGGAGATACCTTGGGACTTTTTAAAATCATAGAATCATAGACTCATAGAATGYCTTTGCTTGGGAGGGACCTTAAAACTCATCCCATTCCAACCCCYAWGGGCAGAGACACCTTCCACTAGACCACGTTGCTCCAAGCMCCCTCCAGYSTGGCTTTGGACWCYCYSAGMRRTGGGGCAGCCACAAATAACTTTGACTCACAAGAACAAAGACCATGATAAAGTTGACATTTCCAAGTGTTSCTCATTGCTCTTCTGTATTTCTCCCTTTGTGCTCACTTGCACACCTGCACAAGCTTGGTTTAGTTCACTGCAGGTGTGTGAAATCAGTTCAGCTGCAGGTGGCTCGAGGAGCACCAGCTGAGCTCACTGCAGGCTGCCAGCACAATGTGGTGCCATGTTCCAGAGCACGATCTTGGTTCATTCAACCTGCATTTGTCTTTATTGCTGTAGGTAAASAACGGGAGATTCATCTCCAACCCAGAAGGAAGAGGAGAGGAACTGACACACAGGAATTTCCAAACAGTAAGTTCAGGTGCTCTCACCACTYCCTCTCTTTGAAGCAGAGGTAGCATCCTTCATGTCCTCCAAACTTCAGACTGTCCTCAGTGATTTCTGGAGTTGATTTCCCATTTGTAAAATGCTTTGAAGGAATTTATTTGAGCTCTGTGGCTGTAACCACAAACTCACCAAGTCTGATAGTCAGGATTTTGGGAATTAAGGTCTGAGAATACATTGCTTAGATTTTTTGTTTTGTTGTATTTTTWWAATAMTTTTAGTTCTCMTCAATTATTTGCAAATATTTGCTGCTTCTAGGAATTCAGATCCCTGAAATGTAATGTAAAGTTTAAAGACAATAGTAACAGCCAAAGCATTGTCACTCAAGATAAGATGGAAAAGTATGGAAATCTGGTTTTGGTTTTTTCAGGCATAAGATTTGGAGTAGATAATTTGAGCTCTACGGCCAGAAGAAGAATGTAGGCCAGAAAGATGGCCCCAGCCCTTYACACATGGTGCAGACTGAGAGCCAAGCCTCACTCTGCTACCTTTTCAATCGATTAGACAGAGCAGAGTGTTGGGTTTGTGCCTGGTCTGGAAACCTTCCTGTTAAGAATTCTGTTCAGACAAAAATATGATCCTTACGTATAAGATGTTTTTGCGTTTTATAGTTTCCTAGTCTTTTACATAATCTCATTTTTAATCTGGGTTGTTTAGTTTAAAATAAATCAGTAATCTCATTTAGAACAAGTTCTGTGGTTTCTTGTTAAAGACCAGTGAGTGGTATCAGCTATGGAGTCCCAAGAACCTTCTTAACTGGTCCAATATTGATCTTACCTAGACAGGTGGATATGTCTTCATCAGTGCAACTCTTCCGAGATCAGAAGTACCACGAGCTGAAGGGTCAGTGCATCCAGCAGGGACGGCTCTTTGAGGATCCTGAGTTTCCAGCCTCGGATGAATCCMTTTACTATGACTCAACAACAAAAGGGAAGGTGGAATGGAAGCGGCCAAAGGTAAGGGATGAGTGTTTTTTCACTCCTGTCCCCTCTAGCAAAGACACTTCCACCAAGAGGTGTCTGAGCAAACCTTTGTTCTGTTGTGAACTGCTGCCCTCTCCCTCAGCTGTTTGTTTGGTTCTGGTGAAGCTTYAGCAGCAAGGTTTGCCCAGAGGGAGTGGAGTGTTTTCCTTTATTGACTGATGCCATCTCTGGTCTCTGCATGGCTATGCTGAAGTCATAGTGGATTTTGCCTCTGATTTGTGTAAAACCTCAATTACCCACCAGCGATTTTCTGAGCCAAATRAACAACTATTATCTGTAAGCAACCAAGAGACCTTGTGTCTATTTGCCACTTTTACTGGCATCTTAACAGGAAAACAAATATGTCATTTGCTTTTAATTGTAACTAATGTACTTGGCATTTCTAATCATTAGTAGTGTAACTTGTATTTGTAACCCGTCTTTGTAACCTGTATTTGGGATCTGTTGGTTGGTTTGCTGCTTCACATGTATTTTTAAAGCAGTTTGCAGCCATAGGCAAACAATTCAGAAGAACACAAACCCATTCCCAGTCTGGCTGTCCATCAGTGTCATGTGTTCTCTTACTCTGACAAGTGTAATGGAGAGGACAGTGGAAGCTTCTAGCCAGATGCATGCAATATTTTTGCCCTTAAGCATGATGAATTTCTCCTTTACTTCACCCATGTCCACTTTTGAGATTAGAATTAATCTTCTGGAAGCACGAACTTGGGTGTCTTTCCTTAGAAAACATGATGCCAATGTGATGTATTTCATATGCTGCTGGTGCTGTTCTCTGTCCCTTGTGACAGGGGGTAACAGACGAGGCTGACCAAGGCTGGACTTTATTTACCAGGATGGCCTGAGGCTGCTTCTCTGTTTTTCTTCTTCTTGTTCTTTCCTGGTGGTGCACATTCATCACAGCAGCTTCCCTACTGGAATTTTAGTGAGCAGTCCAAAGGTTGCTTTCCTACTTCTCATTTCAGTTTTCCAAGTAAGACATGAAGAATGGGGAGAATTAATTTGGAAAAAAAAAAAAAGAAGACATTCCAAAGTCTGTGGGTTTATTTTTATTTCTGAGCACTGTCCTGTTTATTGTAGTGTTTCACCCCCTCCTAGAAAGGGCAACACTGTGCAGCCAGTCACAGTGAGGTCAGGAAGAGTGTTTGTTCTTCGTAAGAGATGTGAAGCAAGAGCTAAACTCTAGCCAAGGATGCCATTTTGGGCCATTCTTGTGTGTATGAGTTTGCTCAAGGTKCTGATCACTGGTAAAAGTCTCATTGTAGGTCAGTGATTAGCTTTGCATTCAGTTATCACCCACGTTAAACATGATGTTATTTAATGTAGGAAACCTCACATATTAATTAMTATTCTATTCACATAAATTTCATTGTCATTTGTCATAAAACCACATATGGGTTCACCTGACACACCTGAGGTGTTGGCTGAGCTGAACCATATCCCACCAGTGCCTGGCCTCTGCTGATTTAAAGTTCAGAGTGAATTCAGGTGTTGATGCCAACAACACAGAACTATGGAAACTTCTTSGTTGAAAAAGACTTTTAGGTTGARAAAKACTTGAAAGATCATTGAGTCSAGCCATTACCCTGACACTGCTGAGTCCACCCCTAAACTATGTCCCTAGCACCACATCTGCAGAGCTTTTTAAAAAAAACATTTCCTATGGCAGTCAGTTCCAGTGCTTGACAACCCTTTTGGTAAAGACATTTTTCCTTTCATCTGATCTAAACCTCCCCTGGGATATGAATCCTTTGCTGGTGTTTCAAAACATTGGACTCTGCTAATACTTTGGTTCTTCTGATATAAACGTGTAAAATAACAGCTGAGCACAACCTTTTCAAAGGTGCAGCATCTTCTGGAGCCCTTCAGCTCCTGCAGGAATCCTCCTGGGGAGGTTTTCTGTGGGGAAAACCTTCTGGTTTGTTAGAAACTTGTTACTGAACATTCTTTCTGCCCACCAATATTAGCATCAGAGCCCATCCTGYTCTTTTCCTGCCATTTCCCTGGAGYTACCCTCCTCTGCCAGGCTGAAATGGGGCTGGGGGCAGATGTGAAGAGGCAGGAGAAGCTTCTTGCCCCTCTGTATCTGGGATGTTCTCAATCACCTGTCCTGGTTAAACCCTTTCTGAGGTAAACACTGCCTCTGTGTGGTGGTCCTGCTTAGCATGGGCTGGAAATAGCCAGGCATGACTGTCACTGCTGAATGGAGACTTTGTCTGTCTTATTTTTAACTAAACCTCGGGTTTSTGTGAACATTTTCACTGGCCTTGCAAAAGGGATGGAATCTCAAGGACATCTTTGTCAGTGCTAAACAAACAGCAGTGATTCCCCAACCAGGGCAGGCAGGCATGTGAGGAAAGAGTGGCTAAGCTTGYTTCAGAGATAAACAGTGTTCTTTAGTTATTCATAAAGGAAAATAGTCTGGTCCTACAGAATGAGACTCCTCTCATGTGCTTTCCTGGTTTACCCGCTTGACCCTGTGTTTTATAAGCCCTGATTCTGCTTTCATCTGCATCTTGTCTTTATGAAAGGGCTGTGATTGCACCCTCATGCTGTGGAAACACAGAGCTGGTTTGTGTTTGGGAAGACAGCACAGAAAGGCACCGTGAGACAGGACTGTGGAGCTGMTTCCCAAGAAACCCCTCCTGTGTCTCAGCCCGCAGGAGGGACACTGCTATGTTTGATTAAATCCCCATTAACTCCCTGGTGCCAAAGGTCAGCTACCTGGCTGAAGGTGGAGAATTGCATCTGCACAGCCCAGTGCCTGTGCTCCTAAAAACACTGTGTGCCATGGGCCCATTCTTTACTGTTCTCACCAGTTTTCCAGCATTTCAGAGGTGATTATTGCCATGCAAGTCCAGGAAATAAGGCACTGCTGTGTTCTGGAATGATACTGTGGTAGGAATCAACAGAGCAAGTGTCTCCCCACTTCCCAAACTGGGGTGTGTGGGATGAGCAGTCTGGTGAGTGTGAGGACAGTGTGAGGAACTGAGGTGCCAGAGAATTCAGGAGCTCTGWCTTCTGCACCTTCACATGTTTGCTGGAGGCAGCACCAGCTTTTGTTTGCTTWTAACTGGTGGAAAATGATCCATTGTTTCAGGAGCTGTATTTACCAGTGGTGATTTGAACCCTAAAATCTCCCCTAACTGTTAAAGGTTTTGGAAGGCAGAGGAGGCCTGGGGCTGTCCCTGCCGTGGGCACTTTGTCTGGATGAGCTTTACCGATTTTTCATTAATGTTTTTTATTCCACAGTGACAGGATTTGTGGTCACAGTGTCCTCCAGAATATTTAACWGTATCCCAGTCTTCATAAATTTSATGGAATGAGGGTCATAAAAGGCTKGGCTGTCAGGTGTAAGCACGCCTGGGTTAAACATCCCTCAGCTGTAATGCTCTTCATCATTGAATTCCTCTGTCCCTTCTGTAGCTGTGTCACTGCAGTCTAACCCTGTTTTCCAGAGACACCTGCTGATGCTTGGGGCTCATATGGAGCCCACTGGTGCTGGCATGAGAGGGAGCTGTCCTGGCACTGTCTCAGGCTTTGAGCAGCTGCTAGAGTTTCGGGGCATGGAGTGGAGTGACAGCTCATCACACCCTGGGATATCTGCCAGGATGGGGCCTGGGGGAAATATAGAGATGGAGGAGTGGGGCATTAAAGGGGAATCCCACAGGCTGGCATGGCAGGGATGTGCACTGCTCTCAGTGCAACTGCACTGCTGCCTTCTGTGTGACAAAGGGATGGGATTGTGACAGCCCCYGTGAATGGTGATACTCACCTGATCTGCCAAGACCCCTCTTCATGCTCCCATCACCTTTCTGGAGTATGGCTCTTGGTTTAATGATCCCTTTTTCAGAGCTGAACATACCTTTTTAATCCCTTCATCCCCTTTTGTCCAGTTAAAAATACGAAACGACAGCAATGTTCTTGCTTAATCAGAACAGGGGTCCTTCCCCACCTCTCCTCCTCACTCCTCAAGCTTTGAAGGATATAATTATTGTTTTTCTTGGGAAAAAAAATCCTTATTCTGCAAAGGTTGCATATCATGAAATAGTTGTTTTCCTGCCTAGCCAAGAATTGTCCACATTTCTCTGTTGCTAGTGGTTATTGACTCTTATCACAGGTAAACACAAACTGCAAAGCTCTGTGTGCTGTGGCATTTGTGTTTGCCCTGGAAATAATGGCACATGTGGCATCTGAAAGGTGAGGAAATGTGTTTCATTGTGGTGCTGAGCCTCTGCTGGGCTTTGAAGCAACTCACAAATCCTTTTATGTGCCTTGAACGTTGCTGGGGGTACAAAGGTGTTTTAGGGTTGTAGGCTGTGTGAGGCAGYGTCCTGCAGTTTGCTGTGCTTCTCTGGGACCTATTTGTAGCAGAAAAGGGCTAAGAAAACTCGGCCTTGCACTAAGATGAAATAAATCCTAACTGGCTTCTTTTCCTKATGTGTCTGTCACATCCTGGATCTCAGCACCATGGATATTGTCTCCCACAATATCCAGTGTMCCTCCGTGGGTGCCTTTCAGATGTGCACTATGTGACTGCTGCTCTAAGGGCTGCTGGAGGATTTTGAGACTTCCTAGATGGCACTGGTGATCATTTTAACAGGCACTTTTGTAATTAGCTGTGATTACACGAGTGCAGTGGCAGCGAGGCTCTTTGCCATTGTTGCAAATAGTTTTCCTTGCCATTAGAAGCAGATTTAGCTTGTGATCTTCAGCTACAGCTCATTGTCTGTGGAAAAATTTTAAATCAGTCGTTTCTCTGTTAACTGCATGTGTGTGCATATAAACAGAATGATTGCAGTGCACCTTAATTTTTATAGAAGGGCTTAAGCCTTGCAGACTCAAAAGTGGTGTAAAGGTCATAGGCAAAGCAGGCTCTGACCTAAGTTTAAACCCTTCATCTTAAAGAAATAGGAAAGCTATTAAGAGCTAAATTCTGGGAAGCAGTCTGCCCTGGAAGATAATCGGAGAGATTG